AATTTTGGAACATTTTGATCCCTCAAACCATTTTTCCATCTCTCACAAGTGGTGGTCTCCTGCCCACTGCACAGCCACCTGTCTCCACAGCACACACAGTGATATTTGTATCTTCACAAAAAAGATCCTACGTGTATGGGTCCCCTATTCCAACCTGCTGTGATCTACATCACATCTGTGGTATAAACCATCAGTTTGGCCTGGAGACAGCACTAGGATTACTAGATCTAAGGGCAGAGAGAGGCTGCAGAGAGGACAGAAATCCAGCAAGAATTAAATGAAGATGGGAAACTTTTGGGTCCCTCTTCTTTGCTAATTCTAGAATCTAGTTCCTTAAAAAAGATGGGAGAAAGATGCAAAGAATAATCAGGCCAGAGCTGGATAATGCTGAGAATTTCTCTCTTGATACCACTGAAAGCCTGTGGGCAGGGACACCTTGGAATTGTGGGGACAATGACAAGCAAAAATGACTCCTCCTGGTGTCAGAGATGGGGGACACCCAGAGCAGAATGACACCAGAACTCTACACATGAAAAAGAACATCATAATTTAAAAAATCCTAAAAGGGCAAAATATGAACACACACACAAAAAAAGACAGGGGCTGATGGCTGGACTTTTTCCTGAGCCTAAAGTGACATGGTCACAGGTAGCCCTCGTTGTCAATGTCCTCCAGACAGGACAAGGCCCAGGTGACTTCTGAGTCTCTGTGATCACAGGTCCTGGTGGGACCAGGTTCTACTGAAATTACAGGGACACAGGACCAGAGAAGATGACCCATCCCAGTAGTGACCCCTTCACAGCCCACAAAGAACTGAGCACTGACTGCGCACAGTCCTTGCCACACTCCCTCCTCACAGCCTGCTGTCCCCCCTGCAACAGGCTCAGTACAACAAACACGCAGGTTCTAGAAGGTTCTCAGTGCTTCCATTTATTTCCACTCTCAAATTTTAGGAATCTTCACCTTTATTATTTCATTAATGGCTCATGGCACCAATTACAAAAAAATAAATTCATACTGAAATTTATTTTCATTAGGAAGGTAAGACATTATTACTAAGTACAACATAAAGTTAAGACAGGGATGGAGACGGCTGAGCCCTGCCTCTGCTAGAAAAGGAAAGTCAACCAGGGAAGGGAACACAGGTTGGGGGTGGGGAGGGGTTGTGGGGGGCAGGAGTGGGCCAGTCTCCCCACCTCCTCACATTGTGCTAATAGGAGCACAGACACATTCAGATGCAGCTGCAGAAGGAGCAGTCAGGGGATCTGAAGTTACAAAGTGGGACATGAACACATCTTGCATCACTCAGTCCCCCACAAGGCAGCTGTCTCACACTGTGAAAGAAAAGAATCAGGAACCAATTCAGGTCAGCCATGGAAGTGCTGACATTCTCAGCAGCCCCCACATGCTCACAGTGTCCCACTCAGAGAATCCCCACACCCAGGGCATCCCCTCTGCCCCAACCCCTCTCCCAGTCTAGGGCCCCCAGTGTCTCACCTCTGGGATCTGTGAGAGACACATCAGAGCCCTGGGCACTGTCACTGCCTGGGGGAGAACAAAACCAGGACGTGGTCAGAGCCCACAGGAGAGAAACCAGAGGAGGAATTCTGAGGTGGGTGAGCTCCCCACATGGCCTCCCAGGTCCACCATCACAAGGGTCTCAGGAACCACACTCACTCCATACTTACTTGCAGCCTGAGCATAGCTCCCTCCTTTTTCACCTGTGAGAAGAAAACATCTTGTGAGAGGCCAGGGAGAAGCCTGAGTCATGAGAGGAACCCCTTGTTCTGGACCACAGAGAACTTTCTAAAACTGTGACCAAAAATCCAGGACAGGATCAGAACATGAAGGAAGGACATGTGGGGGGACTGGGCCAACTACCTTCTTCAGGTCTGTCCTCAATGGGGGTCTATCCATCTGACTTTCTGACTGCTGGGAATCTGATCCCCAACTGCAATTCCAAGCTGAAAAATTTGTCTTTCATTTTCATAAGTGCTTTACAAAGTGTTAGCCCTCAGCTCCAGACGGGCAAGCACGTGTGTGAACAGTACCTCCCAGTAACGAGGCAGGCAAACTTATACTGGGCTTGACACCCCTCAAGTTAGACAAGAAAAGTCCAATTCCCCCTCCCTTCCCTACCTGAGCACCTCTTCCTCCAGATCACAAATCCTGCCACCACAGCTCCAATGACCACAAAGAGAACCAGGCCAACAATGATGCCCATGATGGGGACGGTGGGCTGAGGAGGCGGCTCTGCAAAGAGAAGGGAACAGGCCCTGACCTCAGGCTTGAGTCCCGACCTTGCTGAAGGTCACCAGTAGGGCTTCTGCTTTATCAGAGAAGAAGCTCCACCCCCGTCTCCCTCCTCACCCCATCTCAGGGTGAGGGGCTCCTGAAGCCCCTCGTGCTGCACGTGGCACGTGTATCTCTGCTCCTCTCCGGGAGGCACCACCAGGGCCGCCCACTTCTGGAACGTCCCGTCCCCTGCAGGCCTGGTCTCCACGAGCTCCGTGTCCTGGGCCTGGTCCTCCCCATCACGCTGCCAGGTCAGTGAGATCTCCGCGGGGTAGAAGCCCAGGGCCCAGCACCTCAGGGTGGCCTTACGGTCAGAGGTGGGGTGATGTGTCACATGTGTCCTTGGAGGGTCTGAGGATGAAGAATCAGAAACTTGTCACTCTGGGTTACCTCCATGAGCCACTGATGCAGCATCAGGTGACCATCCTGAGACTGGACAGGATGATGGGTTTGAAAAGAAGCACAAACCCAGGACACCAGCCTGCACCTGGATGTCTGGGAGTATCTCCTAGTCCTCGGAATGTTTAATATTTCAGAATGAAAGACAATATGGGAGGCTCCAGGAATGTAAGGGGGGTGAATACAGAGTCCTGTTCATGACTTTGGTGGAGGATCAATGACTCAGAAATGCTGGAATCTGGATTCAAACACGGTCTCGGGCTGAGAACAGGCCTGAGAGAGAAAGTCCTGGTTCACAAGATGGCGGCCGGGGTCAAAGGGCACCGCGGGTCAGTTATTTCGGGGACGGCCTCCCCCTCTTTATCCGAAAGAGCCTGGATTTCCTCACTGTCCTTTAGAGAAGTCGGGCCCCTGGCAAGTCACTCTCCTGTACAGAATGTGGGGACCTGGGCGGACCCCTCCCTCTGCAGCAGGAAGCCGGGCGGTTTCCCGCGGGATCCCGTCTCCTCTCCTCGTGGGATCCGAGCGGCAGCCCGAGGGGAGGCCGTGGAGGCCCCGCGGCCCCTCGTACCTGCGCGCTGCAGCGTCTCCTTCCCGTTCTCCAGGTATCTGCCGAGCCACTCCACGCAGGTGCCCTCCAGGTAGTTCCTGAAATGCTCCGCCACATCACCGGCCGCCTCCCACTTGCGCTGGGTGATCTGAGCCGCCGCGTCCGCCGCGGTCCAGGAGCGCAGGTCGTCGTTCAGGGCGATGTAATCCTTGCCGTCGTAGGAGAACTGCATGTACCCGCGGAGGAGGCGGCCGTCCGGCCCCACGTCGCAGCCAGACATCCTCTGGAAGGTGTGAGACCCTGACCCCGCCCCGCCCCCCACCGTGATTAAACCTCAACTGAAAATGAAACCGGGTCAAGGTCCCGCCGGCTCTTCCCGGGTCGAGGGCCGGGCGGGCCCCGCAATGTCGGGGTGACCCTCGGACCCGGAGACTCGGGGGCCCCCGGCCCGTCCCTGGGGAGGGGGTCGTGAGCTGGACCCGGGCCCGCGTCGCTCACCGGCCTCGCTCTGGTTGTAGTAGCCGCGCACGTTGTTCAGGCTCTCTCGGTACCACTGTGCGTTGCCCTTCGCATTCCGTGTCTCCCGTTCCCAATACTCCGGCCCCTCCTGCTCCACCCACCGCGCCCGCGGCGCCATCCTCGGATTTGGGGCGTCGCCGTCGAACCGCACGAACTGCGTGTCGTCCACGTAG